GTAGTTCAATCACGTTTAGGAAGGCAAGTTAAGCCAAGGAATTTGGATAAGCAAAGGTGAGCTGTTCACGACTCAACTCACAATTAAATGCTGTTCGTGTAACACGCCATTGACGTGAATAAATACATATGTAGCCTACGTCCGTCTGGGTAATCTTATTAGTCCGATGTGTAAGTGTGCAAGTTTCTTGGTTCTTGTTTATTTTAAGGGATATTACATTTGTCACGGAGCCTTTACAAATAAGTACAACCGAATAGTATTAAATTAGAAATGAATCACGCCCTTCTAAAAATAATTAAAGAGGTCGATGAGATAAAGGGCAGTGAATGATCATATCGATGTTTCACTAAATCAGACGGGAGGATGCGATTTCTCATCCTAATGGCCTCCGACAAATTAGCCAATAATACTGTAATTCCAGCGAGGCCACATCTTTTCGCGAAAAAAATTGGATCCAGAATCAGTTCCAAAACTCTACCATGTAAGGATAAGAGCAGAAGCCTTGGCGATTAGAGGCGTGATTTCATAATAACATCTAATCACATAGTCTATCGTTCAAGGTCTTTACCTGAAGTGAATACACTCGGAATTGCCTTACTCGACAGATAAAATTGATAAAACGGCTACGGTCATAAATGCGTTTAAAAGCAGCCCTATATGTTTCAAGGCAGCGGTCATTTCTGCCAATTTAACTGAATGTATTTATTGCAATAAAAGAGACAGAGAAGATCCCCCTAAATCGCCTTTTTATAATGAACACATTTACCGTGGGTAATTAATATATAAACTATTTCGATTTGTCACTTTGATTTGTATTTCAGTTAATTGTGAAAGTAATTACGGAGCGAATTAACAGCTTTCTAGAAAGCCGGCGGTTTCGGGTCTATTTCCATCGCAGCGAGCAATATTAATTTGCCCCTCCTGTTGATGTGATGAATAGGAGTTATAAATCTATATGATTGGTTCAGGCCAAGACTAAATGGCTTCATATTTCACATGTGGTTTAATAGAAATATTCATGCGATCTCTTAATGAAATTAAACCAATGGGCGGTGGGGGGGGGGGGGGGGTAGTGTAGAGCAGAGTTCGGCTCAGAGAGGTCCAAAAAGGTATACGTAGCGGATCGCAACGACAGACATCTTTTGGGAAACAAGTGTATATATATATATGTTGCGTTCATGTATTTCTCAAATGACCAATTTGAACAATAAATACTTGAACAAGTTGATTTTAAAAGTGCGTTCCGTATCAGGGGAGTCGGAGGAGCACGGGCACTCTGACAGATTCAGGGGGCCCATCACTTCCCAGGGGCCCCCGAATACATAAAATCATACATAAAATTGGGTGAGATTTTGCTAGGGGGCCCAAAATAGGTATCTTACACCTCTGTTCCGTATTCCATGCAGTGCACGACCAGTAGGCCTACTAACTTATAATATACGGCGTATACAACAACGATTTCAGGTTTATTTTTCCATATATGCAACCTATGGCAAACGCTGTTTTAATGGTTTCTTTTAAATTTATTTCCAAGTGAAAAAGGAATATTGGAGAATGCATTACAATTTCAAGCGTCCATTAAGGAGTTAAAGCGGAGCGGCCATATCATCACACCGCGGGTGCTGGCTGACGCGAGATTCATCATTAATATATCAGTTGGTAAGTGTCCAGCTATTATTTCGTAATCGGCCTTAATATCATCTATGGTTCCTAATTAAATCGTGATTCTTCAGTTAAACCTGTCCGGTGACTTGTTGATTTCCCATGAGCAAATAAACGCTGGATGCAGTCCCATGAGAGTGGTTAGCTGATGAATTGACAAAAACTAATCAGCTTTATTGGGCGACGGGTTAAGGGCAACAGGGTGTCAATAATTCTCATCCTGACCTCTTCCTCCATTAAGTTAAAATGGCTTATTAGAGCAAAGCACTGGCCAATACATTTTCAGAGCTCAATTGCTTAAAAACGCACCTATTCCTCTATACAAATTCAAGTTATCCCATGTCACGTTTATCACCGGGGTTTATAACAATCTCATCTACTAAATGTCATATCACAAAGGCTGCAATTTTGATAAAACCGGGCAGCGTCCTTAAACAGTTATCCATAAATTGAGAGTGCAGTGGAGAGTGCAGGAGATCGCGCGGCAGGGTGGATTCCCCATCGCTATACACCGCCCCCCCCCCCCCCATTAGCCTAGTGCAAACAAACATGTTTACAGGATTCTATTTACAAGAGTAATTTCTTCAAATTTGAACATTTACAGTCCGCTTTTCCCAGCGTCAGATAATATACTGCAGTGAAATAACAGTTGTTTTAAACCTGCCTAATTTGGCCCATTTAAATGTGCAGGTCTGTTTTTTTTGTATAGCAGCATACGTGAATATACCCAACACATCCATATATTTTACGGATTTTACGTTCTTATTAGCAACACTAGTTTGGTCAGCTTAACATGTCTCAATTTCACCTTCCACAAAGCTTAAACTATAAGCTTTAATAAACTTATAAAAGTCCAGTCTTAACTTGTGCTAATATTTGCAATGTGTAATATTCGTTTGTAAAATATCACTGGAACAAGATTTTCTATGTGCACAGCTTGCATCTAAAAATTATAGTCTTTCAATACTGTTGAAAAACAATGCGTTTATTTAATACGAGTTCGAAACCAATTATACATAGGCCTAATGAAATGAAAAACTCAACCATGTTTCTCAATTTAAGATTTCACTGCAGTATTATAAATGTGATTTGGTATATAAGCTTACGGGCGGCTGCAAGAAAAGTTAAATCGATGAAGAGAAGCCAAAGCCCCCAAAAAAATGACAGAAAGTAAGGAATTTAAGCTTATATAAAATAATGAAAACTTTATCTTAATTGCTGATTGCATTACCAGATAACAATTTCGCCTCTGTACGTCATAAATATAAACAGGGTGAAATGTGCAATATGGGTCAGACATAAAAGCACCCTGACCCACCGCTTAGCGCGTTTCCGCCGCGGAGGCGTACAAACGCGCGTATTGGGGCGGCTTTCAACTGAATTTCCCCGCTGACACATTTAATTACGTAATTGGCCAGGTTTCGTATGACAACAATAGTACGTCAACTGTCACTTTCAATGTGTTAAAACTCTTATGTGCCTGCATGTAGGTAGGCACGTGCTTGCCTCTGTGTGGGTTTTCTACACGTGTAATTAAAACGAATCGCTTCCGTGGTGTTTTCTAGCAAATGCAACCTGAAGCGAAAGAAGCACGAGAAAAAAAAAAACTTGAAAATATGGTTTATGCGGGTATGAGAGTAAAAACAAACAAACAATAAAACACAATAGATATAAGCCAGGTGTTGTATAGTGTGCATGTAGGCAATGTATAGTTGACGTTTAGTAGCAACAGAACCATGGTGGCAGAATGACCATGAACACGCTACCTGTCATTGGAAGGAGACTAAATTTAAAAATCAAAAATCTGACGTGTAACAATTAGCCTCACTACAAGTGTATATGACTGTTTGAAAAAAAGCACACGTCACTATTAATATAACAGGTACAGGAAAATCTATAAGACAAATACGAACCTTTCACAGAATCATTGTTTCTCTCCTCATCATAAGTAGGCCTTTGTGATAAGATTTAAGTGAGTGTTTTAGTTCCAGCTGCACGGAAGAATTGTAGGCTATATCCCTCCCCCAACAAAAAAACTAAATCCGGAGACAGAAGTCTCATGCAACTACAGTTACTCTGACAGCGTCAACATTTCAACTAAACATTAACTATGATCTTTTCTGAATTTTTATGTATAATTGGGAAACTTCTGTAGACGTATATACGACAAAAAAAGACCGACACAAATATTTAAATCTGATCTTATAATTGCTCTGATATTCAAAATCATTCAAGGAGTTCACTTATATTGTTGCCCTTAACGAACATGCAGGTGAATTAATAAACCAGTTTCCGCCACCATACCTAAGCAGCATCCTTTAAATGTCCTCTTGCTTTCGATTCGCAGGTGACAGATCTGGAGCGAAGACCGCGCGCGCAGAGCGCGATGTGGGGGGCCAGGGACCTGCATTCCGACCCAATTAAGCTACCAAAGTTAGCCCTGCTGTCTGTGTGCCGTGATCCGAGTCCACGAGAAAGGGGGACACCCAGAAGCGATTAGATACTGAGCCGGCGACAAACTTCAACACACATGGAAACATTTTTGACATTTTTACACGTTGGATCCAAACAAATGGGCACGTTTGTTTTTAATATATTATTTTGTTAGATAATCAAACACCTGCACACTTCGTATCGATATCTCCATAGATCACCGAAAACGGGCTGTACGTTGACGACTAGACAAATAAACGAATATGCGACATTCATACTTTAACTAAACAGAGAAACTGAAGCCATTATTTTTGCAGCATCCCTGCATAACAGCGCAAAACCAATATGTTACGTTAAATACAATTATCGTTTATGTATGCATAATACATGAAAGTGTACATATATCGGTGTCTATTTTTGTGTACTATCCTTGCAGTGAGGCACTTCGTTTTCTACGTGCCGCAGTGGGGGCAGATTTTGGGAACAATAAAGTACATTTATATTGTTTAGCTGCACTATAATAACTTAAGAGAAACCACTTGCAACGTTTTTCGTCAGGTGCTTTAAGTTACCAATATGATAAAAACATAACTGCATAAAACGTTTTCTCGTTTTCACAAAATAGTATACTTCACCCATAATGGCCACATAGAAATTACTATTTGACAAGCAAAGTTTTGTGTTATGTGATCACGTACAATAGCGTTCGACACAAAGTAATGAACGAAGCGACAGCTTTCTGTTTTCTCCATAGCCTGCATTCAAAAATGCGTCGTTTTTATTGCGGGTGAGTAGCTTACTAATTAGCCCTAAAGCAGGACGCGAGCTACGCAAAGCTCCCGATACGTCATGCATCTTAACTTTAATAGGGTGAAACAAATAGAGCTATAAACAAAATGAAAGGCAGCGCAATGGAATCAAGGTGGGACAGGATGCCTCTGGGAATAACAAAGTAAATAAATACATTTAAAAATTACAAAGACGTGGAAAAAAGGCACTACGTCCACCATAAACACGCGGACGCGGACCAATAGGAAAGCTCCCGGCCCGGCCAGCGCAGCCAATCCTCTTACTCAGAAGGACTTCAATTGACCAGCGGAGTTAAGCGCTCAGTCCAGCGCAAATCGTAAGTCACATTAGTAGACCATCCAGGCTCTGAGACCGTTTAAAGACATTTTAAGTTGCACCACTTGGAGCGACTGGGACTTCAGGCCAGATGGAAAAATCCAAAAATTTCCGCATAGACGCGCTCCTGGCTGTCGACCCTCCAAAAGTACAGACTTCTCCCCTGGCGCTGGTTACCTCTCTGTCCTCCTCTTCCCTTTCATCGTCCGGAAGTGTAAACGCTTCTGAGCTGAACACCAGCACCGATTCCTTAAGGACTGAGAGCCCATCGCCGCCAAGGATTTCCTCTTGCGGCCTGATTCCCAAACCGGGCTTCTTGAATAACCCCCACTCCAGTATGGTTGGATTACATCCTCAAAGTACCGCGGGCATTCCGCCTCAGGCTTTCTACGGCCACCCAATGTATACGTATTCTGCGGCTGCCCTTGGTCAGCATCCGGCCCTTTCCTATTCCTACCAGCACGGGTCCCATCACCACCACCCCAACGAGTCCGTCAAACTCACCGCAGGAACGTTTCAACTGGACCACTGGCTGCGCGTCTCCACAGCAGGAATGATGCTTCCGAAAATGTCGGATTTCAACTGTAAGTATACGGCTTAAAACTGTGGTCCTTGCTAATACTGAATTAACAGCCTAATATGGTCCTTTTGTTCACATTTAGGACCAACTTTTTGTTCTGTAATTGTTACAGCTCCCTTAAGGACAATATTTCAAATATGCACATGAGTTTTGCCAAAATATGCCGTACATTTCTAATCCAGAATTATTTTACGTGTCTTACCTTTAATAAAATAATAAATATCTTGGCGAGATTTATTAATTGGCTGATAGGTCTAATATTTAAAAGCACATTAAAATGCTTCCATAAATTGCGATGACATACAGGTCATAATTGCCTAAATAGGCAACGGGGAGATTTTACTGAATGTCGAAATTCACTTGGAAAACAGTGCCTTCATTGAGCCAGTTAACTCGTGCGCCAGCCGCCTCTTTTACAGGAACTAAATTGACGAGATAATGGACAGTGGGAAAGTAACGGGGCAGTGCGACATTTTCAGCCGGCGAAGTGTTTGCACACCAGATACTGGCCTTTCTGTTCACTTTCATTTTAACAGATTCGCTCCAGGAGAGATGGTAAATAGCCTCGATTCTCTCTAAATATCAGAAACTAAGGGGATGCAACCATAGTTATTGACTGTGCATGGTTTGACAAATTGACCGTTCGTGACTTAGAGAATTTCACCGCGCCTTTTTCAGAAATACAAAATACCAGAAAAAACATATGCGTGGAAACTCTACAATAATTACCCTTACCCTTACTATATTTAGCTATTCGTCTTACACATCGTGGGAAAAATTATACATATGCATATGGCCAAACAGCACAAAACCTCACAAAACAAACACACATTTCGTTATGTTATTAAAGTTATAAGATGTACTTGCTAATCATGCATATATAGGCCTACATACACACATAATGGTTTTGGTAAATGGGTCCCTAACACAGCATTCTGTAGTGTCCTTTGCACAGACCTAAACTCATCTATGTCGAATCCCCTTCTGATGAGGGACGCTGCGACAGCACATAGGCCTATATATAGGCTACGAAATGCAAATGTAGCAGACTTAGATTTTGTCGTTTATTTTCAACTGAAATCACCATAAAACCTTCTTCTTGTAGCTCAAGCGCAGTCTAACTTACTGGGCAAGTGCAGAAGACCAAGGACCGCGTTCACCAGCCAGCAGCTCTTGGAACTGGAGCATCAGTTTAAGTTAAATAAGTACCTCTCCCGGCCCAAAAGGTTCGAGGTGGCCACGTCATTAATGCTCACTGAAACCCAGGTAAATGCATCACCTCCGGGAAAGGAATGAAATCATAGCTATTCTGCAGCGGGCCCAACGTCATATAGCATTAATAAAATGTATATATATATGGTTTATATATTATATTATTTATATATTAAATACCAATATTATGTATCACATACCAGTGCATATTCCCCAACCTGACCTGACCTATATATATTTAAGTGTGCTGTTATGCCATCTAAATTAGCAGGTGTACAGTAGTTATGCGATATTTTCCCCATAGAAGTCTTTAGAAGGATTTAAGAAGCACACGACGATAAGCAGATAAGCATAACCGGTGAACATATGCGCCTACTTTAAGGTTATGATATCGGTAGCTGATGTACGCCTTCTTTTCAGGTAAAAATATGGTTTCAGAACAGGCGGATGAAATGGAAGCGCAGCAAGAAGGCGAAGGAGCAAGCGGCCCAGGACGCCGAGAAACCCAGGAACGGCAAAAACGCGCAGGACAAGTCCGACGGCTCGGAGAGGACGGACTGCCAGCGGTCGGACCCCGTGAAAAACAACAGAACAAGAGGCATCAGGGACAGTGACGAGGAAGAAGCGGATGATAATTACCTGTACAACTCGTCGGATTGCTCCTCGGAGGACGAGAGAAGTCACACTGGGCGGATTAGTCCGCAGCAGTAAGATGATTAGGCCTACGGCGGTAACATTTATTTTCTTTTTATTGAATATTTTAAACGGTCTGTCTAATTTTACGAGAAACGTGCATGTATTCATTACCTGCAATTGAAAGTTAAAATTACAAATCTAATCACTAAAAATATAAAATAATTTCCATCGACGGCTGATGTGAAGCTGATACAGAAAAATAAAAATCTGATTTATTTGCATTAACAATGACACTTAGTCTCACGTTGAGAAATTACCGGTCGAATCTGTTACAATGCATGTTTTTTTCTCCCTTAGAAATGTTGTTTAATCAGTCTTAAAAATTCAATTTCATTCCCTCGCACCTCACGGCTACTTAAGTGTGAGCAATTTTTATAGGCCTACTTAATTAAATATCCCAATTGTTCATCTTTGATAACCACTGCGTTTTTAATTTTTATTTTTTAAACTGTGTGTGGTTGTACATCTGTAACTGTCAAAGACCGTTTACGTGAAGAAGAAAAGTAACGTCTTTATTTTTGTATACGGTATTTATAGAAATGGCTCTAAAATTGCATGCTAAATTTTTGTTTAGCGTTTCTCATGGTGCAAATAACATTAAATAAAATTGTTTTATAAAACCGTGTTTAATTTTTTTGTTAAGACGACTGGCCGCAATTAGGACAACGTCTAGGCCTATAAGTCTTAATAAAAGGAGAATATAGTAGGCTACCGTATAGGTGCAATATTTGGCAGCAACGTTAAATTAAACTATTTTAAGTATTTGGAATTTTGTTTATCAGATCGCAAATCACAATTACACAATGGCGCTAGTAATTTTACTGTAAACTAGGCTATATTACAACTATTACAGCATTTGATGTTATTACATGCAAGTTAAATATAGCCTATTATTTGTGATTTGAGCGTGCATATGGACTAGAATAGCGGAAGAGCTGTTCGGATATGTTTTCTGTTGTTTGTCAGAGGGAGCCATCGCGGTATGGCTGAAATATGCTGTACAGTGAACAACACAGCTGATGCTGCATTCATCTGGCCTGTCCTGCCCGGCTCACCAGGTCGTGGCCCGGCGATCTCTGTTAATAGCGCTGGCGAATCGGTGCAAATGTGCGCACAAGCAAACAGAAACATCTCGCACCAGAGCAGCAGCGGGCTGATATTAATAAACCTTTGAAATGGAGGGACATCGATCATCGGGCGCGCTGACGCTCAAGTTCATCCGGGTTTTGTTAGAAATAGCCGCGGCGCGCCCGTGTGCCACCACACCAAAGAAGATCGAGTGCATTGATGTGGCTGAGTATTATTTTAGCTGCTTTGGATAAATATTTGCATCAGTATAATCGACAGATTCGATTTTCCGTTACATTTTAAGCTGGAAAAATATGAGAAGTATATAAACTTTAGTTAACGGCTGGGCTTTGCTAAGACATATGAAATTGTCGTTCTTTGGAAATGGATAAAAGTAATTATTTTATGTATGTGTAGTGATAGATGTTATTTGTTCAAAATGTTAAGCGGTGGCGAGTGAGCAAATGGTGCCTAAAATATAAAAAAACGTGGTCACCGCGAAATCTTATCACATGGAGTGACATGAACTGCACAAAAAGTCTTAGAAATGTAGGCTATTAATATAAATGTATTTCATTATATGATCATTATATTGCTCTACTTGGAGTCCTTATTGCGCCAAAATGTTTGAATTTTACAATGACAGAAATGTGTAATAATAGTAATAAAATAATAATAATAATGAACTAAAAATATAAAGGAAAAATACATTTATTTAAATGCGTCATTCTTTTCCTCACGAGAAACATTTTCTTTGGTCAAATTTTTAATTGAAGCTTTACGCCTGTTATTGTGACTGACTAGTGTTAAGTTTTAATCAATCAGCGCAACTTATCCGAAATACGTATCCTGGGCGATTTATTTTAGGCATTACGTACAAAACCTTCAAAATATTAAACTGTCATATTCATTTCGACGGATCCAACAACGTATAACACGATCATTCTGATACCCTCATGTGTTGTATTAATAATACATAAAAAGTTTGTGCTATTACATACACTTGCAATTTACAGATGTAGAATACAATTAAAAAAACTAAGCACCAAAATACGGAAAAAAACAAATATACGCATGTTTGAGAACAAAACACTGCGGCATTTACGGATAACGGCATAGTGACTGACACCCCTCGGGGCGGCCGCGCGCCGCTCTCAACGTCTTACATTCATAAGAAACGTGCGGCACATTTACTGTTGATAGTCGCGTCGGCTTACATTTAGCACTTGCGCTGCCAGCGGTTGTACATTTAATAGGTAGCTTCACTCAATCTGTGGATTTTTATCTCCTACACCAGGATCTAGGGAGACAGCAGGTGAAGGAGGAGAGCATAAGCGGCATCTTCATTCGCCCGCATTTTCAAAAACAGGAACTCATGGATTTAGGCCGTTACTGGACACATGAAACATAACTAAGTATGGCTGCTATTTTGTTTTCAGTCTGTGGCAATAAGTTTGTAAGGTCCATCTCAAATGCTTCTACAGGGTGTTGTGTGGCTCGGCCGTTAGGATCAGGTGGTCGGTGATTCAAATCCCATGGTCATGATTATTTCATGATTAGGCCCTAAACCTCCAATTGCTCTAGGGACTTTTTCTCAATTGTCCGTTGCTCTGGATAAAAGATCATGCAAAATAAATGTCATGCATATCGGACACAATTCTCCGCATTCTCACAGAAGTTGGTTGAAAGATTGCTGGTTTGAATCCCCGACCAGCAAGGCACCACTGAGGTACCCTGAGCAAGGTACCGCCCCCAAGCACTGCTCCCCGGGCGCTGAATTCGCTGCCCCCTGCTATGTCACAATGTGACATTTGGGTTAAATGCAGAGGATACATTTCGATTTTGTGCACCATATGCTGTGGTTTGTCAACAATGACCACCGATCACCAATTTCTAAATTCTCGATTCTAATTCCAATTCTTATTAAATGATACTGCCGGTGCATCCCAGAATGGGTGGTGGTTCATCTGAGACACCTGGATCCGAGGGGGTCCAGATGGGTCCTGGACAGGTGGGGGGGGGGGGTAATGGACGACGCGGACTGGAGCACCTGCCCAATGAGGTGCCTCGATGCAGGCTGCTTTAAGGAGTATTACTTATTGACGGAGTGTAATCCCCAGACGGGACTCTAGTTTGCCCAGCTGCAAGTGCACAGAAAGGGCGATCCGTGTTATCTATTCATCAACACTCCCACCAGCAAGGGGCACTCTTTTTTTTGGGGGGGGGGGGCACACAGAGTCAACAGGACTTTCGTCAGCAAAACGGAGGGGCGGGCATCAACTCGAGACTGACAGCGGTAATAGCTTGTTTCTATTAGACATCAAAAGGTCACGCCAGGGGCAGTATCAGTCGCGTTAAAGTAATTAAACACAAGTACAAAAAAAAGGAAAGAGGAGCAGGGAGACAATGGTGTCAATGCACCCCCCCCCTTTGTTTATTTGCTGATTTATCTTGAAGGGGCTCGACTTTCTCGACTCTCAACAATGTCCTCTTTGTGAGGCCTGAGGCCGCTGTGAATCACAGGACCACGCCCACCCGTGCGCCGATTGCCTGCCTGCCCCCCCCCCCTGGATGGGTCACCAATCGGCTGGGACCAGGACTGCGGTCCCTGTAGTTTTGAACTTCACACCAATTTGTGAGACAATTCTCAACTGAAACGTACAAAGTTATATGAAAACTCAACACTCTACCAAATCGATAGTTTACTTGCATTTCCCAAGAGAATTCCCATTTTAACATTTAGCGGAGATTTCTCTCCCAAGTGAAGTACCACTGTGTGCAGGCCCAACGGTGACTTCACTCTGCCGGCTTGGAGATTCAAACTGACATCCTCATCCTATCTGTGGGATGCAACTCACCTTCCATACTCCATAATCACTCATCCAGTACAGGGTCATGTCGAGCATGGAGTCTATTATGGGAAGCACAGGGCACAAGGCAGGGGACACAAATGATGAAAAACAAATGATTCACTTTAGCATTTACGTAGATTTTGAAATATTACAATGCCAAATCTTAACACTTTAAACTACAACAAATAAAAATGAAAAAACGAAAGAAAAAGAATAAACAAAGGCAGGGAGATCATACAAACTACACACATGCTGATCAGGGGACAGGAATCAAACCCACAGTGCAGGGTGTGAGGTCACACTGCTAAACAATGAGCCATAAGCAGAGTATTTCCAAACAACACAAGGCAGTCTCACACTATGAGTACTACCCATAGACCAGCAAGGCTAAAATACCCTTATTGAGTGACTGGTGGGCTGTACAGGGTGACCCATGCCTTGACCTTCCCCAGTGTGAGACCAGGACCACAGTGACCCTGCACTGGATAACTGTGGAATCTATAAACACTGCAGGCACAAAACACACACACCTGTCAAGACTACAGGCTTTAATTTAAAAATGTTAGTCATACGATTACACAAAAAAAATATGTGTAGCCACAGGCAAAAATACAGGTCCCAAATCTGGAAAATGCAGGAAGATTATCAAGGATGGATGACTAACATTATTACTGAAACATTACTATACTGTAACATTACTACTGTAACATTACTAATCAAAGCACTGCCTCGTTTTATGTCAAGCTGCTGTATTGGATCTAGCAATTCCATCAATGTATCCGGTGCACCAGTGTGCTCCAGTGGACCTACAGGGACCTGCAGAAAGATCCGGAAGCTGTGACTCTGTTACAGAGCCCAAACTCAGGGTCACATTATAGGACCTATAGCCTGGGCCCCTTCTGCGATGTGGCCACTAGTGACGACGATGTCCCTGATTTTCCCCGTGAGAGAGATGCTTACATTTACCTTGAGGCTTTCACACGTACACCCGCACATATAACAAAAAAAGGTTACGCTCGGGATTCCTTAAAGGGGAAGCGCGCACCAAGTTACATTTATCAGAAGCCGTCATTCGCAGGTCGCCCCTGGCCCCCCAGGCTTGAAAGCGACCCGCGAGACCCAGATTACCAGGCACACATCCGTCCTGGCCTCTGCAAACAGCGGGAGCCCGGGAGCAAAGCAAACAGGAACTGGAGGGACACTGAGCACAATGGGGCTCTAAGTGTGAGAAGAGGATATCAGCCGGGGAGTGTGACTTCCACCTTTAATCCAGGAGCGCTGGGCTCCGCGGGAACGGGCCCCATCCTGCTCTTCTCCAGGTAACAGCGGCACTCCGTCCACATTCCGGCATCTTTACAACTGTTCACGCCAGGACTATCCAACCCTACTCCCTGGCCCCAGTGCATGCTGAGAATTTTATCCAGATATCACATTGACTGGACAGAGACTGAGTTCTCACATTCACAGAACCACTTCGAACACAGCTGGACCGCCACGAGCAGAACCGCTCACCCCGACACTGGGTTCAGCATTTCTGATACTCCGATGAAGAGTCTTTTTCGCTCAAATGATCATTTTAATCAAATTGTCAAACAGTCAAGGTGAAACAACTTGAAACAGTGACTCATACCACAGGCACTGGATTGCGTGTGACCGTGACCAGCACTGGTAAATCATCATTCTTAGGTTCCAGTGAGGACTGGAAGCATTGAATCGTTCAATCCCCAGCAATAAACCAATCGTCTGGCACTTCCTGTTAGCACAGCAGTTTGCTGTCGTCCTGACCCCCCCCCCACCCCCACCCCCCCGCCTCCTGAGCGGGCTCCACGTCAGCGGCGTCTTTATGATTGACGGACGTCACTGGTGTTCATGATCACAGCTTCAGCTGATCCTCCTTGGCCTCCATGGCCTTGGTTGCCACTTGAGCCCCCTCCTTCAGCCGCCGCGCCTCCTCACCGTCCCCATCGGGGGGCGCGTTCCTCAGCAGGAAGTGGCTGATGAAGAGCTTCAGGCCCTCCCGCATTGCCTTCAGCTTGGGCAGCCCTGAAATCCTGGCAGTACGCACAGACACACACAGACAGACACACACACACACAGACAGACAGACACACACAGACAAACATGAGATGCTAATCGCACAGACCTGCCATAACAAACTGGCTGAAACCCCAAACCCCACCCCCCGTGGATCAATCAGAACCAAACGTTATCAGATTCCCCCCCCCCCACCCCACCAGTGACACGTGATCCCTGGAACATCATGCTTTTCCCCCACTGGTTTACTGTGGAGACGGTCACTTAGCAACCAACGTTCCTATTTACTAGAGATGGCAGAGTTTCAAAAGTCGCACAAATTAATCAGCAAGTTAAACGTCCCAAATTACCTACAAACACTTCCACTGAAATCAGTCAAGACAATATTTGCGCGATTATGCAGAACTATTTCATTTATCTTGCAGGAGTAGACTGAGGTTTCCACAAAAGCGAGGATAAGAGCTCCTGGAAAGATTACCTTCCAAATATTTCACCCAGGACCTGATGGTCAGTGTCTCTCAGAAGCTTGCTCAGCACCTGCCGTAAGAACCTGACCTTTGTCTTGTCCAGCTCCCCGAATTCAATGACCTGTGAGTAACAGAAAGTGCTTATCAGTCATCAACAGCTATGGACAAGACTTATAGTCTAAAAAGACATCATCTGTATGCAGAGCTGATATTAGGGTAGTGTGGCCATTTGGGCTGCTTGGGGCCTTGTCCTCTAGGGGGCGCTGCCCAAAAGGGAAACTTGCCTAGATAATGATAAGCTAAACAATAATGTTATTAAATATTTTCTTTTTCATTGATTGTATCCAGCCACATTTCATCTGAATGACATTTTGGCAAAAAATTAGGGTTGTAATCAAGGGCATCACTTTGGGCTGAGCACTGGGGTGGGGGGTTGAGGTCTCCACCGATGTAGGGGACCCAGGGGGTTATATTGGCTTGTTTTGATTATTGGGGGGGGGCGGTTTACAATGGCGTGTACCATTCAGTACATCATTCTTGGGTCGGAATAGTGCAACGCATTGAACGAATACTAGGGATGTATCTGAATACGAGTACGTTATTTGGAAATGCACAGATACTGGTTTGGAAACAGATTTTTTTTTTTTTTCTACCTGAAGTCTCGTGTTATTTGAAAAATGTCAGCTCCATGACTGACACGTCTATGCATCTTCAAATCGATTCATATCATTGTGGATGGCCACAAGACGGACACGCCCACTCTGTCTGAAACACGGGACCCTGATTTCACTAACTAGTCATTTGATTTACTACAAATTATTTAAAAGACGGAACACGTTACGTAATAATAAGTTTGACACTTGTGTGTTCATGTGAAGGTGGCTTCGGAAACGGACCTTCAGGATGGAGACGGACAGAGTCTTCTTCTGAAGAACATGAATGACCAGATGCACCAGGTTACTGAAGACGCTGCTGGACATGTTCTGGAGCTCCTTGAACTTGTCCCACAGGGTGAACTGAAGGGTCATCTGGCAGCAGAGGGGAGCGGTCAGGGGTGACCTTCCTGCCTGAGAGCCTGCTCACCTGCATTGGTCTCACTGTCACCTGAACATGTAAACTCCAAGCATGGAGCTGGCTGCCAAAATCAAACCCAAACCGACAACCCCAGACACGCAAGACCGGTGTTAACCCCACATGTTATTTCTGGGGCCCCACTCAAAATGTCACTTTGAGGCCGCCAACCCCCTAAGATTAACATAACGTAACATAACATAACATAAACAGCTAGCAAATAGAATCAGGAGATCGTAGCAGGCTTGTTATGAAGGCAAGGCAGGTTTTTTTATATAGCAAAATTCAGATGCAAAGCATTTCATAGTGCTTTACGACAAAGGATAGATTTAAATAAAAAACATTAAAGTCACATTTAAAAGACACATTTAAAAGCCTAAAAAACAAACAATCAAATAAATAGTTAACTAAAAGAAGTTAGACTGTAGAGGAAGTGTACGGGGCTGCAGCAAACAAACAGTAATGTTTTAGGCCCTGATTATAATGAGCATGTAGCAGATGTAGCAGATGTTGGGGGTATTCCATGAAGCAGGATTAAGGGAAAGTCTGACTTATTTCAACAATTCTGGCTCATTTAAGTGGGAGTTAATGTGTTCCATCAATGTGTCTTAAATGAATCCCCGCCAAGCTACCATGGTAACTTATGCGAGTGAACAAGTCTGCTCCGGACCAGGTTAACCGTCTCGCTTAGTTAAGCGTTGTCTCAAAGAACGTCCGACGTGTGGGAACAGATTCCCAAATGATCGTTTGGCCAGATGAAATTCCGCACGTCATGCAATAAATATAACAAAGCCTATAAAAATCATGTCTCAGCATTCCAATTAATTCCAAAATACTGTAATTCAAATAAAAACATACCCATATTTGAAAGGTCAAACATGAAATGCAATGACTGAAGCTGAAAAAAAATCCGTTAAAGCAATATGAACGGGAAGATATTTTTATATTTTGTTTAGTCAGTCTACTTTGAAAATTTATTAGTAAAAAGACAAGATACGGTTATTTTTGCAGAACATTTCACACGGATGCAATTGAAAGTATTTTACGGAGATCAAATAATACAGAATAACATTATACAGTAAGAATGAACTCAACCAAGGAAGTTCCCCGTTGGCTATGGGGATGGAACCAGGAACTTTCGCGGTGTAAGGCGACAACATGAACCACTGTACCATCATGCCACTGTACTAGGCTCTTGTAACATTTACATAACTTACACATTTAGTCTGTCTGCAATTCTTGGCCAAGCCAACTCCCTGGCTGTGTTTATGGCCACAGTATTGCCTTTTTTAGTGATTACATATTTGTATTTTTCATACAGCTCCATCAGCAGCGTTTGTTCTGCGGCAAAAAAAAACACCACTCTCGTTTTACACGCTTTCCGACTCATTTGATCTATCTATCGTTCATCCATTCATTTGGGCCTCTTAAATATCTCGGGTGTGCGCACTAATGAGACTATGCAAGTCTGTCTTGTATGAGCCTCGATTAAAGCTGAACCGCGTTCGTGGAACATGAGGCTAAGTTTAGAGATGGAGGTAGTTTGAGTCTGACTTTTTCGGGAAAGTCTGGCTTTCTTTAGCTACTTTCATGGAATACCCCCCTCATGCTTGACTTTTTCGGGAAAGTCTGGCTTTCTTTAGCTACTTTCATGGAATACCCCCCTCATGCTGTTTCAGCATCACCTAAACAAAGAACTTATTTTATTTCATATTTAGTGTAGTGACTGTTTGTGGCCAACAGGGGGCGGTTCTGCTGCCCGTCGCCTGAACTGGGTCTATAAAACGCTTCTGAGGCTTACAAGCAAACAGCAAAAACCCGTCATGGCAATAATGGAGCACAGCGGAGGCCCAGGTACCTGAAAGCGCCGGTCGTGAGCACAGAACTTGTCTGCCAACACGATGTAGAAAGCGTTGAAGAGCCGCTCCTGAAGGCAGCAGTCCAGCAGAACGCGGATAATCTCCCGCTCCTGCTGGTCTTTGAAGCCTAGCCTGGGGGGGCGAAGAGAGGGAGGCCGCTGTCAATCACACACCAAACCAACCAATCAAACTCACACACCAAACCAACCAATCAAACACACACACCACACACTGCGTCATCAGCATCACACCCCACCCCCCCACTTCTTTACAGTTAACTTAATAACAACACACTACAAAACTTTTACACATCGGAAGTGTTTATCACCACTCAAAACACACAAGGCTCGGGGGCCCCCTGTTGGCCAGTAATGGTCACTAAACCTGGAGGGGGCAGACTTAGCACTATTTGAGGGGTGACCTGGGGGCGAGGGCTCCATCATGGCAATTCACTCAAGTTCTCCAATCACATATGATGTGACTGCCCTGGTACACAAATGGGCCAATAGGCATTCAGGAAGGGAGTGTTAACAGGTTGTTGTCTTCCAATCACATTTAATGTTGGCTGTTCAACACCTTCGCTGGTAAACGAAGGCCAAGGGCTTACAGGAAGGGAGTGTCAGCGACTGGCCGAGAGCTGCCTGCCGCGTCCTTGTAACGCCCTCTGCTGGTGACCCAGAGATCGCATGCGAGTCAACGGAGACCAAGTGAAAGGAGATGCGGCTCCTTCACTCTCTGACCACTGAGAGATCAGCTGCTCCTCACAGCTGGTTTTCATGGCTCCTCAGCATCACATTACCAGCTGGGACTCCAGCACTTTACCAAGGCTCCTACAGGGGCAGTGTGGTCAGGCGGGGGCACCTCAGCAGCTTCTCAAAGGCATCCAGGTAGTCCTCACTGGTCATGATGATGCAGAAAATGCTCTTCCGGACGTCGGTGTTCATCCGCTGCTTCCGGGCAAGCTCCAGGACCTTTGCACTGAACTAAGCGAGTGTAAAGGCAACAGAGAGGATGAATTATAAAAACTAGGTTAGCAATCCAGCCTTTTGTCCTCAGGGTTAATGAGCGCACGTGGCCAGACCTGCATCACAGGAAGTAGCAGGCATAACGTTATTTTAAAGAAGAAAAGGAAACTATTTACACTATAGGGTTTTCAATAAGAACTTTCTGAAAGGTGGATCTTCTATGTGTCTCGGCTTGGGGGTGTGGCTAAGGGGTAATGGCCCGTCTACCTGTCCCTCGGCGGCGGCAGGCTGCGTCTTCCCGTGCTCCCCGATCATGGGAGCACCGCTCCAGCTCGAACCCACGATCCACCAGCGGCCCACCTGCTCCGCCGCTAGCAAGTTCTCTAGGGAGACCCTCAGCTTTACGTCGCTGCCGCCGGCATTCCGCTGCACCTGCAGGGGGCGTCACGCAGACAGGATTTCAAACGAGCAATCGGTCTGCTTTTTATTTACCTAGATATTGTTCACTGGTTCACAGAAGATCAAACTTAATAGCAATACCACACTTTCACACTTACACTCTCAGCTAACTGTTAATTATCTGTGTGGTAGCTGATGTCTAGAATTTCCACCGGGTTTTAAGTCGCTAAAACGTGCGAGTGGCACTGTTACAGGGCTTAGTTTTGTTACTCATCCCTCTTCAGGTCCTTTGTTTACATCTCGGCTTCTGACACAGATCCTGGGCCGTCATGCATGAATCTGGTGCCCTCTAGTGGCGCAAGCCCCTCACCAGCGTCCTTTGCAGTTTCCTCAGTCTCTCCACCGGCTCGGGGTTGTAGCCCGGAATCTTCCGCATGTCGTTGTTCTTCAAAGCCAGCATGGTTTCTAACATGAAGCGCACCTGAAATACGTTTGGAAAGTAAGAGCATTGAAACAAGATACCCTGTGGCTGGGTGGGGGTGTCATGAAATCAGATGATCGGTGAAAGTCGTCTTTAATGTCAGTTTGAGTTGCATTTTCCGCGGGTTATACACAGAGATGACATTACGATCTTGTCAATCACAGAGCAAGAAAACTGTGATAAACTGGAATATTGCATATTCATATAACTCATAATTCAATTTTTTAAAAAATACTTATTTAAAATAATATATAATACACCAGTGGCCAACCTTGTGGAAATACCCAGCATTTCTGGCATCACGCTTTAAATATGACTACACGATACTGGCGGCAATGTTCATAGTCAAAGAATGTTTACAAATCATACATTTGACAACTACATGGAGCAACAGTTAAATAAAGTTCTGCAATCTCTAAAAACTGGAAGTGTCTCCACAATTTTGGCCTCTGGCTTCTCACTTAACAACTACATTGCTTATCAACCATTTGCAAATATAACGGTAAAAAAAATAAACAAATAAAATTCTGACCAACGGGCGCATTTACGACCAAATTTCGTACGCCTGGTGGCGCATGCACAAGTGTTAAAGATGCACCTTCGTACCCTGGCCTGCTCCCGGAACGTCTCGCCCAGGGCGCTGGCCTTGCGCTGGCTCTCGCAGATGAGCTCCCTGAGGGCGGCTGCGTCGTCCCTGCGCAGCCCGAAGCCCACGCTGCGCAGCGTCAGCAGGATCAGCTCCATGTCCTTCTCGGCGAAGACGCCCACCAGCTTGCGGAGGAGGTCGAACACCAGAAGCGCGTGCACCACCTGGAAGCTGTAGAGGTGTGCCACCATGGCCAGCAGGTTGTCGCTCTCCTTCCCGCCACTGGCTGCCGCCTGATATGCGGCGTCGAACCTCTGGACCACCGCCTCCAAAAAATGAGCCCCCACCTGTGAAACGGTACAGTTCAATGGACTGAATCATCACTTCCCGTGTCTATGTGTATGTGTACACTCACACACACGCACTCACACACACACGCACTCACACACACACAC